AGGCTTGCCACGATTATGAACTAGAGGCAGTGCTGCCATTGGCGCCGCAAAGAGTGCCAGAGCCACATGCGGCGCCGGGATAGACACTGCAGCCGGTGCCACCGAAGGTCGTGCGTCGTCGTGGCAATGAGGTCCCGCGCTGCCTCGTAGGTATCCGGAGTGGAGGGAAGGTCGAGTTCTTCCTCCAAATCCTCCAAGTTGGGGAGTCCACTAGCACCAGACTCAACTGGCCTCCAACTGGGTCCAGACCATGGGTGTCCCACCGGAGGACGCACCCTATTGGAGTCCCCTCATAGCTTCTTAATGGGGGAATGACCCGTCCGCCTTCTTTTTCTTATGCGGCACTGGGGAATGTGAGCCGTGCCGCCTGGTAGCACTGGCCTTATGAGTCAGGGAGCGGTGCTGGTGCTCTTTAGAGGAGTCCTTCCTCAGTTCCGGGACATCCCACCGATGATGCCGGTGCTGCTTCCAGTGCCAGCTGTGGGTGGAAGGCCAACTGCATCAGGAGGAGAGCATAGTCCCGCTTTCTCTTAGTCCCGGGTCTAAAGCTCCTGCAAATTGGGCAGTTATGTGTCTGATGGCCCTCTCCTAAACACTTGGGACAGGCAGCGTGCGGATCGCCTGTGGGCTTAAGTTTTGCACACCTCTTGCACGCCTTAAACCCGTGCAACCGAGGCATGCCCCGGTGCCTGGGGAAACTAAGGTGGGAAGAAGCCCCCCGAAGTAAGTCCAACTAACTACAAACTACTATATAATGAACTAACAACTAAGAAAAGGGAACCACTAGGTAGGCACCTGTGAATGCAAGAGACTCAGCTGCTCCAACGACCGTCACTGGCGGTAAGAAGGAACTGAGCAGGCGGCAGGGACCTATATACACTGCCATAAAGGCGCCACTCCAGGGGTCTCCACAACTGACCCAACCGGGTACCACTAGGGGAAAAACCTTCAGACGATTATGCATGCGGCACACACACACCCCTATTGGAATGCACATGAGCAATCACTCAAAGAAGAACTTTAAGGTTTCTTTCCACCAAGAAGCATGGTTTTTCTGCTTGGTTTAAGCAGGGGCAGTTCACACAGGCTGCTACTGCTGTGCAGTCTGTCTTCAGAAGATGACAACTGGGATTTGTTTCTGAAAGCCAACGTGGATCTGTTCCACAATAACAACATATAAATTTCTTTCCATTAGGTACCAGACATCTTGTGTAGTTTTCAAACTAAGCACTTTCCCCACATCATATAAAACTATCATCTGTGGTCAGATACATCCCAAGAAGAATTTGTAGGGGCGTCCCATTCGTATCTGGCCAACCCACTGTTTGTAGCATCTCTTCACTGAGACTACGGATGCACCAGCATCTCCAACTGCATCCCAAAAGACAGTAAAATCTGCTCTAAAGATTTGCGGTGTAACTGGACTGGGGGAGGAGAGGAGTGGAGGAACCTTGACAAGATACAACAAAGCCCAGTAGAGAGGCAAGTGATCTCACCTTGACCATTTCCTATATGTGCACAAAATTAATGAGCTACTCCAGCTGGAACTTTTGGTAGTAGATGTGAAGAAAAGTATTTTGCACCTCTATATTCACCAGAAAAACCCTTGGTCTGAGGGGTGACAGGGGGGACCCATGAGATTCCATTTTAATTTTTGACAATGGACTAATGAACTAACTAGTTTTGTAGTTTTAGATGAGTGTCCCCTTTGTTTTTTGAGAAATGGAAAAAAATTAAGGATGCTCCTAAGAAATAATCAGGATGGGAGAATTAGTAAGTGGCTCCTTTGCCAAGAAGATAAATTGAAAACTTGCCAAAAGAATGCTTAGGGAAGAACAGGGAAGGGACAGAAAATAATTACATTGAGGAAAGAAGAGGCTGGGGAGATTTTATTTATATATACTATGGGCAAATTGATTCTCTCCATAGTGACATGAGGGGTATGTTACAGAATTCTTCTACGTGGCTATCCAGCGTGGGAGGGAGAGAAGAATTCTATAACATAGCCCCCATGTCACTATGGAGAGAATCAATTTGCCTTGAGTAACTGCAGTCCAATTTTTTTTGGGGGGGGGGCGGGGGAGGTTTGAAATCAGCTCCTTAATTTACCCTACTGAACAGAGTGAACTGACATTAAGGGGATACTTATTCTGACCCCTACTCTGGGAAGGCCTGGCCTGCTGGCTGGATTTCCTAAAGGAACTGGACTGTAAAGGTTCATTGGGGACTTTGATATGGAATTCATTCTTTTTTTTTTTTTTACTTAAATTTCACTACCGCATTATAGGAAGCAAAACGAGTCTTCCAAGTAGTATTCTGTGATCTGATTTATCCCTGTCTAAGAGGCCCTGGGGTGATTATATCAGCCTCTAAAGGGACAGAGGATTATTTGGGGGACACGGTCATTGAATGATCCAGCCAGGGAGAAAAGTCTTCCCAGGGGTCTCCCAGTCCAACTTATATTTATTAATAAACATGGCCCTAAAATCCTTAATATATGATATTTCCCAGCATTATCTTTACCAAAATTACTCATTGGGGAATTCTGCACCACCGCGCAATGCAGAATTTTGCAGAAATGAATGTTGTGCGCACAGAATTTCCTTTCTCCCACAGGTTTCAGAGTGGAAGCCGTGTTAGTCTGTATGAAGTAGTTTTAGCCCACGAAAGCTTATGCTCAAATAAATTTGTTAGTCTCTAAGGTGCCACAAGTACTCCTCGTTCTTTTTGCTTTCCCCCACAGAAATTAGCTGCAGCGCTGCTGGCCGCCACTAGGGGCCACTGGACCCGGCAGAGCCCAGCTCACACACAGAAGACACTGCTGGGGGGAGGGGGAGAGAACTAGAGCTGTGGTTCTCAAAGTTTTGTACTGGTGACCCCTTTCACATAGCAAGTTTCTGAGTTCGACCCTTCTTATAAATTAAAAACACTTTTTAATATATTTTAACACCATTATAAATGCTGGAGGCAAAGTGGGGTTTTGGGTGGAGGCTGACAACTCGCAATACCCCATGTAATAACCTCGCGACCCCCTGAGGGGTCCTGACCCCCAGTTTGAGATCCCCTGAACTAGAGGGTTCCCGGCAGCTGCAGTTCCCAGCTTCCCCTGAGGGAAGGAGACAGCAGCACGCAGGAAACTCCATGAAAGCCTGGGACCAAGCATCAGGCTGTTTCTCCCTCTGGATCCCTGGGCTCTGGGGTAGAGGGGGGCAGGTGTCTGGGCTGGTGGAGCCACGGCTGGGCTCTGGGGGGGGGGGGAAGAGGGGGCAGGTGTCTGGGCAAGGGGGCCCCCCATGACTGGGCTCTGGGGGGAGGGGGATTGGGTATATTGTCTGGGGGGGAGCTCCGTGGCTGGGCTCTTAGGGGGAGGGGCTGTGGGTGTCTGGCCCCCTGGCTGAGCCCTGGTGGAGTGGAAGGGGACAGAGAAAGAGGAACTAGGTTGTCATAGGGGTTTCTTTAACTCTCTACTCCTGGGAGAATGGGGGGGAAGAGAGAGAGTGTGTGTATATTGTTACAAACATACTTGCTAACAGGTATTTTGAAATAAATTACCAAAATAATTGAAACTGGCATGATTATGTAGTATTATTTTGACAAATAAAATCTGCAGAATTTTAAAATATAGTGTGCAGAATTTTTATTTTTTTAGCACAGAATGCCCCCAGGAGTACAAAATGAAGACAGGCAAGGTCTTTTCCCTACAGGTTTATCAAGATAAATGAAGAATCTTTTTCTAGTTACAGGATGAATCTTTAGGATCCTCACAACATATTTTCATGACATTGAGGATCTTGGCAGACTCTGGAATTTGGGATACAGACTCTGGAATTTCAGTATCAGGCTCAGAAGAAGGGGGATCTCCCCATCCTCTGTAGCCACAGCAATAGCAGAGGATGGGAAGATACGGGGCAAACAAAGGCTTGTAAGTTCTGCTCAGTTTGAAGGAAAGCCAGATTCAAAAACTGGAGAATAGATACACCTGTTAGAAGGGTCAAGAGGAAGAGTGCTCTGCCACAGGGAGAACCCCGGGGGCATCTTTTTGGGGGGGGTCTTCCTTTATGCTATTTGCATTTGGTAAGGAGGGAAGGAAGAGGGAAAGTTCACCAGGTTTTGGAGAGCCTTTTCATCAGTGTAAACTCCTGGGGAATCTGGAAGACTACCGTCACCCCACAAGCTCACCATCCTGCCAGGGAAGAGCAGATAGGTCCTGTTAATGCAAACGACTTTTTCATGAGCCACCAGAACCTGCCTCAGGAGGGGGGACCAGGACCTGAGTTGGGACCAAGAGTGGGCTGCACAATGACAGTACAATTGGTGCACTCTGTTCTTCCACATATTCCCTCTCCTGTTACCTTGCTGCAGCTAAAGGCTGAATGACAGCCAAGGCTTGTGGAGGGGAAGGGAAGAGTCACAAAATGACAATTTCTCATTGGATACCAGAGAAGCACAAAAGAAGCATCCCATTAATTTGCACCAGTGGAACCAGGAAGCATTAACACTTGCTGAAGCAATAAGCTGGTGATACTGTGAAATTACTTCTTTATTTTTGTTATTCTTTGAACTGGATAAGGGACAGAAACTAAGGTTATATTTGTGTTTATTACATTATTGCTTTAGAATAGTACCTTTAATGTAAAATTGCAAAATTCTGCTAGCCATCTCACCAAGTGATTTGCTACAGCATGGGAGTAAAATATAATCACTTATCTATCATCAATGTTGTAAAAGTTGGAAATTAGATTTTGTACTTAGGCTGGTAGGCTTTCATAACAATATGCCAAGGCTGCTTTATGAATTCCTTAACATTCCAAATGAAAAGCATATTTACTCAATCACCTGTTCTGTAATACATGAAGTTAGATATTCCAAGTCTCTCAAAGTTACATTAGGGAAAGTAATCAGCTTTCAAAATCAGGTCAAAAGCAGTGCCTGTGATGTAGAGATCTTTATCCCACCAACCTATTGTGAATCAGTGAAAAGGAGAGTAGCAGAGGACATACCTTGGAACTGCTCCCAAAACAATCAAGTTCGCTTTTTGTTTGTTGTTTCCAATTACAGCATTTTTCATATCTCTGTAAATCCAGAAAGAAAAACAAACCCTGGTAAATTATGCTGAGGTACTAAGTAAATTTTATAGAATTGAGCCCTGTTTCCACAGATTTTATCAAAATCTTTCAGATCTCCATGCTGCACCTACATGGCTGAACACTGCTTCAGGACACAGTATTTTCCAACATCTTTGGCCACAAAACCCAGATCTCCAGGTTTCCACTATGCCCCAACTCATTCAAATGAGCAAAAACCCACACCACTTCGTGTTAGAATCACATGTGGAAGTGAGTCATTACTGATGAAGTCAGATGGACCACTTGATCATACCCACCCACTTCATCCAGCATCTAAAATAAGTCAGCTGTGGGGAAAACATTAAACCTCAGTAATGTGAAATCATAATCACTGTTATGATGGGAGCAAGGAAAAGTCACTTCTTACCAAAGGGGAGAGGAAGGATAGTCCAGTGATTAGGGTGCAAGCCTGGGACCCTGGAGACAAGGGTTCAACTCCGTGGTCGGCCACAGGCTTCCTGTATAACCTTAGTGAAGGTTACAACCTGTATGCAAGAGACAAGGTGGGTGAGATAATATCTTTTGTAGGACCAACTTCTATTGGTGGAAAAGAAGCTTGAAGACCTCAGGTCTTCCAGCAAAGGAAGGTGGTCCAATAAAAGATATTATCTCACCCACCTTATGTGTCTCATATCCTGGGATCAACACTGCAAACAATAGCCTCTATGCCTCAGGTTCCCCAGCAGTAGAGTGGAGACAACAGCACTTTCCTACCTCACAGGGATGTTATGAGAATAAATATATTAAGAGACTGTAAGATGCTCAGATTGTATGGTAGTGGGGGTTAGATAGTACCTAGGATAAGAAGGCAGGACTACTCCAAACAAGAGGTAGCTGTCTAATATAACAGTTCTACATCCCAGCCAAGCTCCTGATGAAATGCTTAGTTTGCAATCTAATATGGTGCAGAAAGTTATTTTGTATACTAAAAACGACAAAGCACCCACTTGGATTTTTTACATTAGTTGCTTTTATTATACACATGATTCTCAATGAGTTTCAGGGAAGACCAGCAGTCTGTTACATTACCAGCTTACAGACAACTCAATAGAACAAATTTCTTAGCTTCTCTAAAACTGTATCAAGATTTAAATGAGCTTAGACTTTGCAAATGCAGAAAGCAAAAAAAATTCATCTGACTATTCAAAACCCTTCTAACTAGCAGAAAGGCAAGACACACAAGACCTCTAAGTTCAGTTCATGCATTTCACAACTCTAACCTTTCAGTAGTTAGATTAAGTAACACTGTACCCCAAAGTTTTTCAAATGGTTTCTCATCTTCAGTGTTCACTATTAGAGAGTTCTCTATCCAAAGCAATGTTCAGATTGCCATTAAGGCCCTCTATTTTCACTCACTCACAGTTTTTTCAATAAATTCTCTCTTTACAGCCAAAGCGTTCCCATCTTGGACCTTTTGGGGGATTTAGATAAGAGCAAAACAACTCAAGTGCCTTAAAAAAAAACCCCACACATTAAAATAAACTTTAGAAGATTAAGAGAGTGTGTGTGTGTGTGTGTGTGTTCCTAACTGAAGGCTAGTCACCATGCCAACTAAGAAAGAGTTAGTGTTAAGAAAACAATATTCGCAACAGGTGCACTAAAAAGTTTCCACCAAGCTTAGAGTTACAGTGCAATCCATGGAATTATATATTTACAGACACAATTTTAATTGGATTTGCTTGTCAGTTTGTGTTTGCTTTTCTCTATACCGCTATTTAAGCAAGGTCAACAGAAAGATTAGTGTTTTCATCTCTTCCTGATTTCCGCCCCCCCAAAAGCCAGGAAAAAACAAAGTGTGTGTGTGTATATATATATATATATATATATGCGCGCGCGCCTGCCTCTAGTTGACATTTTGGAAAGCGTAAGCAAAAGTTGTTCAGTCATATCCAAGAATGAAGGGAAATACACATTTTACCTGTGCTAAAAAAAGTTTCCCAAGTTTAATTCAGAAGCATTAGCACCTACAGGCTTTGGAACATGGACTTGAAATTTGGTGGTGTTTGCATTAGTGTCAGATGTGCCTGACTTTTGCTTTCCCTATGAAAAATCCACCCAAATTTGACCAAGTTATATGCAGATGCTCAGAGCTTTGTTAGAGGCTGGCAGCTCTGTTCTCCAAAGAACCTGCCTGCAATGAGCATGCTCCACTAGGGTGACCAGACAGTAAGTGTGATACATCAGGACAGGGGCTGAAGGGTAATAGGCACTTATATAAGACAAAGCCCCATATATCAGGACTGTCCCTATAAAATCGGGACATCTGGTCACCCTATGCTCCACCCACACACAGCTCCTATGTCCCTAGTGGACACACAAATCTCACTGAGGCCTGTGGCTGCTGCAAGTGCTCAGCATATCTTCTTCATAAATTCCAAAGCCAAAAGGAACTACTGTGATCATGTAGTCTCACCTCCTGTGTAACACAAACCATAGAATTTCCCCAAAATAATTCTTAGAGCATATATTTTAGAAAAACATCCAATCTTGATTTAAGAATTACCAGTTATGGAGAATCCACCATAACCCTTGATAAATTGCTCCACTGATTAACTACTCACTGTTAATTTACACCTTATTTCAAGCCTGAATTTGTCTGGCTTCAACTTTCAGCCATTGGGTTGTGTTATACATTTCTCTGCTAGACTGAAGAGCCTATTATCAAATATTTGTTCCCAATCTAGATAATTATAGACTGTAATCAAGTCACCCCTTATGCTCTTTGTTCAGCTAAACAGATTGAGCTCCTTCAGTCTGTCACTATGAGGCATGTTTTCTAATCCTTTCATCATTCTTGAGGCTCTTCTCTGAACCTCTCTAATTTATCAACATCCTTCCAGAATTGTGGAAAACAGAACTGGACACAGTATTGAAGCAGCAGTCACACCAGTGCCAACTACAGAGGCAATATAACCTCTCTACTCCTACTCGAGATTCCCCTGTTTATGCATTGGCTCATTTGGCACAGTGTCCTACTGGGAGCTCCTCATGTTCAGCTTGATTATCCATCAATATCCCCAATCCTTTTCAGAGTCACTGTTTCCAAGGATCAGAGGGGTAGCCGTGTTAGTCTGAATCTGTAAAAAGCAACAGAGGGTCCTGTGGCACCTTTAAGACTAACAGAAGTATTGGAGCATAAGCTTTCGTGGGTGAATGCCCACTTCATCAGACGCAAGTAAGGGAAATTTCCAGAGGCAGGTATAAATCAATATGGAGATAACGAGGTTAGTTCAATCAGGGAGGGTGAGGTGCTCTGCTAGCAGTTGAGGTGTGAACACCAAGGGAGGAGAAACTGCTTCTGTAGTTGGATAGCCATTCACAGTCTTTGTTTAATCCTGATCTGATTGTGTCAAATTTGCAAATGAACTGGAGCTCAGCAGTTGTATTTTGGAGTCTGGTCATAAAGGTTAATTGCTGTAGGAAAGTTAATTTTACATCTGATATTGT